CTCCAGCCCCTGCAGAACATACTTCTTTTAAACGGATACCCAGAAAGCTCCAACCTCAGTAATATTGGCATAGGCACCGGAAAAGTCTCCTGCTTTAACTGCAGTAAAGGAATACATGTGCATAAGACTGTCTTTCTTACGTGATGCAATAAGCGAGCTGATAAGACGACGTCCTGTAGAGCAGGATAGATTGGCCAAACAACGAGGCGCCTGGAAAAGAGCGTATGTGAGCACATATGCACCTGAGTAAGTTAGCTTGAAAGTAGACGATTTTGAGTACCATGCTTACACACCTTGTCGATACGAATCAGCATGTCAATTCCAACGAAGCCTTTGTGAGTTGTCTGCCTGACACTAGCCAATTTTATAAGGATCTACGGCAAATGGGTGTTTTGAGCAGCCGAGGCAGTGGCTATACGTCTGGCGAATCCAGCGTTGTGCTGTCAGAAGGTGCTAATGTAGGCGCCCACCCTTCCGTAGACGATGACGACGCCAGGGGGAGGGGATGACATGTCACCCCCACACCCTGGTGATGGTGGTTTACTGAGTGCACGTGAAAGTCATGTTCACTCCACGTACTCGACCAAAGACCATGTCTCGCAGCCTTACCTGTTTTTTTCTCTTACTTCCTGCAATGGTCTCACCCCGGGATTGTACACGGTCATTCAACTTTTTAGTAGATAAGCTATCTAAAACCATGAATCGGATATGCTCTACTAAGATCATATTTAACCCAGGACAGAAAGACCAGCATTAATCACATTCCCTGGCACATATATTTAAAAAGACAAAAACACATGCCATGTACAGGAATACATTCCGAAAGAAAAAATAACGAACAAATAAAGTAGGTTTCTAGATAATATGCTTCTCGAAATACTCCAAAGATGCTATTAGAGGCACCCACCGTAGTTCTGTATTTTCAGGAGGCCCATGAATATGCATATCTGGTAAATCGTGCATTTTGATGCCCAGTTTAACCGCTGTCAGTCCGACATAGACATCCTCAAAGACAAACGTTTTAGTGAAGGCTGTCGCAATGGATAGTGCTGCCACGGCCTCTGCCCCAATGAAGTAGCATGGGCCACTCGGATAGTCTGAATACATTTTGAGGGGAAATTCACTTCGCGTCACAGCCCACTTGTGCCCTGGTTGCCGTATTACCCCCGCCCGCTTGTTTATGCAACCGAATACTGAGCGCCGCAGCTGCCCCCGATGTTTGCCATCTCTGTCGAAAGTGTGGAAGTAGTCAAGGAGAGCGGGCACATTTAGGCCATGGTCATCATCCATAAAGGCGAAGAGAGGACTGGCGTCGCCACAGCCTACGTGAGCAAATCGGATATTTAGCAGTGTCTTGAAGGTCAGATTGTAGTAGGTGTCCGGGAAGTCGGTCAGAATGATGTCGTCAAAGCGGGTCGCCTCATCGCTGATGGCATCCAGCAGTCGGGACCGGTTGACAGTGTCAGCCGGGACACCTAAACTGAACAGGAGGCCCACTGAGCTGGAAAGTTTGGACGTCTGTTTTCTGATGAGACGGCGCAATCGACTCCGGCGTGCCACATTCATCGGTGAGCTTTTGACAATGATGATAAGTTCGTACCTCGCACGATGCTCAGTTTCATTTATACGGCAAATGGACTGACTAGTGCGTATCAGCACAAGTTTGGGATTATTGATAGGTGCCTAAAAATGAATTTTGGAATTCATTGCAACACTGATTACTGCAAATAAATAAGTCGCAATAGACAAGGATTAGCAATATAATATTGTACGTTAAGTCATCTTCATGAAGGTGAACATTAGAAAAATTACGATGGACACACGCAAAATAAAAAGAGTGTGTTCTTCAATGCCGATTTTTCATTTTGCCTAATACAGTAGATTACATATCTGATGAAAGGTTGGAGATTGTGGGATTTAACACACGTTTGACACTGTTAATTTGGTTAAATTGGGGCGCAAAATTCTATTTTCTGGAATT